TGCCTATCACAGAAATGAATCACCTAGGTAGGGAAAGAAACGTCCCGGTAGTCCTAAGAATGTTTCTCCTCACTGCTCCAAATACTCTCTCCGGTCACATAATCCTAACATAAGCATTTTAATGCCAAATTTATTTTCAAACATGGATAGGCCAGCCTGCATTAAAGGATTCTCATCTGCTGGGTTTATGAAATGATTTGTAATCATCAACTCTATAAATAAGATAATATAACTTTCTTTACCAAAGCATCAAGCTTCATATGGGACTATATTTATGTCATACATAAATAAATAGCTGGAAATGATTAAACTTGATATTCTAAATTTGATTTTCATAGTTAGAAAACTAAAATTGCACTGCACCATTATAGCAGTTCTTGTTAACAAATACCCACAGTTTTGAGAAACTGGTTCTCAGTAGCCAGTAATATCAGGGTCACACCGCAGCTGATGAATGACTCTTCCCAGTGGCACTCACACCTGATATGCAAGTTGTGTGGATTAGAGAGTTTTCAGAGAGAGAGGGGAAAAAATCATTTCCTGACACCAATTTCTGATGCCACTGGTATGTCATCTGATGAAAATGAGACTCCTCTGACGAATGCAAAACAGATTTAGTGTTTCCACCTAACAATTACTCTGCCACGCTCTTCAAGACACTGAGATGGAAATGGGTCCGATTGTATTTTTTCTTATACCCTGATAAATCTCCCTATTCAAGAACTAAGCAGGTTCCCCACCTCCCAGATGACAGTTTTGAGGTAGATGGATATCAAAAGTGGAAGGAGGCTTAATCCTAGCAATTAAGCCCCTTGGCTTAAATAAAGGTGTAGGCATAAACATATTTACATTATATCATGTGTGGAATAAATATAAAGTGTATATGAAAACACTTATAAAATACTTTTATTTATTTATTTATTTACTTACTTACTTATTTAGGCTCAGGGTCTCATTCTGCTGTCCAGGCTGGAGTGTAGTGGCACGATTATGGCTCACCACAAACTCAACCTCCTGGGCTCAGGTGATCCTTCTGCCGCAGCCTCCTGAGAAGCAAGGACTACAGCCAACTCACCTGGTTAAATTTTTCTTTTTTTTTTTTTAGGGACAGTGTCTCACTATGTTGCCCAGGCTGCTCGCAAACTCCTGGTCCCAAGATATCCTTCTGCCTCATCCTCTCAAAGTGTTGCGATTACAGGCGTGAGACACCATGCCCAGCTCTATCTTCAAATGTAACACCAAATTTCTGTAACTCAAGTTGAAGTCTAGCTGATACACTACAATTTAATCATGTAGCTCTCATCAATTTCTGTGAGAAACACACTCCCAATCTTCAAAGTCTACCTTTTAACTCCCGACTTTGCAATTCAGGGACTTAGGCGATGGCCAGGACAAACTGCATAGTTCGTGGAGTAGATCTGTACGGGCTCTGCACACTGACTGATGCGCAAGGTGGCTCAACAGAAAACGAAAATACATTCAGCCAGAGGGCAGAGCGTCTGGCTCCACAAGCTGAAGACTCTCCTACAGTCCACAAGCCGTGTGTCCCGGGACAGCGTACTCATGGCGGTTAATGTCACGGCAGCTAGAGGAGACAAAGGGCACTCAGATATGCACGTGGCCAAACCTTGTTCTAGGTGTTTCCAGATGAGTTCAACATTTAAACGGGTAGACTGAGTAAGCCCTCTCTCCTGTGGATGGGCCTCATCCAATCAGGATGAAGGCACGAAGAGAACAAAAACGGACTCTTCCCAAGTAAGAGGGCATTCTTCCTGGCCAACTCGCTGAAAATTGGAATGCCGAGCTTTTCCTGCCTCTGAACGCCATCTGAATTGTCAGCCCTGCCTGGGTCTTGGGCCTGCCGACTACAGATCTTGGGCCTTCCTTCTCAAGCCTCCAAAGTCATAGAGCCCATTCCTTTTCACAAATCTATTTCCCTCTCTATAACTCCTGTCGGTTCTGGAGCTCCAGAAACCCCTGCCTACCACAATATTATAAGGGAAAAAAAAGATTTTTCTACAGAGCGGCCAAGGAGTGAGCTGGGAAAGCTGCATTCAGCACCAAAAAGACAAAGAGGCAGAGGCCACAGCAGCTCACACATGGCGACCCTGCGAGAAAGCATGTAGAACCTGAAGACACAACATGATTGAACCATTCCTACTTGGCACAGAAGGCTGGAACAGGAAACCAAAAGGCAATAGATGGGGGTAGAGCAGTGAGGGGTACTGAGAAAGGAAGGGTTGAATGAGAGAGAAAAGAACTCCCTACAGATGAGATTTTTTTCTAAGTAAATTATTGCCCACACAAACTTAGATCTATGCCCCTCATCCGATCCGTGTGAGCTCATAGCACTGTGTGCACTCCTGCCGTCCTCTAGGGTGACAGTAGTGGCCACAAGCACGCTCACAACGGCTGCCAGGCCTTAAACCCGTAGCAAAACGCTAGATAACCCAGCTGTAGAGAGTTCTGCTTTTTCATTCTTGTTCATTTGAATAGTGTGATGCTTATAAGTTTTTGCCCCTGTGTTCTTCTCATGACACCCATGCGTACTTAAAGTCACCTTTGAAGACTATGAAGATGTCAAAGGAAAGACTCGTGGGATTTCAAAAACACTTCCAGGATCACAGACATTCTTTTCCAATGTACACATGAAGGATATTCCAGGAAAGCTTAAAACTGGTTGGAGTGCAGGCTTATGAGATAAAAAGGAACCTAGGATTCGTGACATACTCTCAGGGATAAAGACCTCACTGTTTTTTCCATTTAGCTGTGCTCAGGCTTTGGAATTACTGCTCAGAAGTCCTTCGTTTCATCCCACTGTCCTCCCTCCAAAATGTCTTCTCCCTTCTGCTGGGTTAGTACTCACAGTCGGCACAAAAGGAGGACAATTCTGAAACAAGGACGCAGCCTGGGCAGGGCGGGTCAAAGTCATGGGGCCTCAGTCAACCGCGTCTTTGCCTGACACTCTTGTCCTTGCGTATCCCTTCTCCTCCGGCTTGAAATGTCCTTTCTGTCCCAAGGGGTAAGAGCAGAGTTTCTAGATCACATGGAATCGAGCGCCATTTCTGACATCTCCTGGCATGTGGCCTCGAGACAGTTATTCACCTCTTTGTGCCTCGGCTTTCTCAGCAACCAAAGGTAAAAAATAATAGTCCTCTGTGTGTAGAGTGGTAAGGAAGTACTGAGTTCATGGGTCCAGTTCTTGGAGCACTGCCTGGCCTGTGGTCAACGTCAGCGCGAGCCCTTACGCATCCGCCCTCACTCTTCCAGGCCCGACAGGTGGCAGGTGGCTTGTGGTTTGTGTACAGAACCACATGGGTTCTGCACATGGTTCATGGTCTAGAAAGTACCCATTCAGCAGCCTTCCTCACTCCCAAGTCTGAGCAAGGATTACGTCCTCTCTCTCACGATGTTTCACAGAGCACAGTGTGATGGTGGGGCATAGCAGGTACTCAGCGAATGTGGACTGAGTGCTTGAAGAAGGGATGCCTAATTCGACGAAGAAGAGCCTACCACCTAAGGGATGCTGTTTGCAAATAACAATAGCAGTGCAGTAAAGGGAAGCTGCAGTTAGAATCCTACTCAGAAACATAAGTCACTATTTTGGTACAGAGCAAGTTCTGGGATTTTGAATTTGCCTAAATTCATTTGCTTTAAAATTTTTCACATAAGGTCACTTTTATTTACATACAAGTCGTTCTTGCCAGCACAGAGAGATAAGCATAACAAAACTAACGGAACCAAAGTTTCTTCTACCCAGGAGACCAAATATTTCTGAGCTATCTCAGAAGGCCACATTTAATTTTCAACTGCACACGATGTACAATTATTACTATTAAAGAGTCATTGAGAAACATCTTTCCAATTACAAAAAAAGAAAAAAAAGACAAAGCGCCAAGAGAGACCCAGGACAAGACAGAAGGGATAAATGCGTTATTTAGTCTTGGCTCCCCAGACTGACATGCCCCTGGAAGGAGAAAGCACAGGAGGAGGGACTGCCAAACTAACCAACCCTGATCTCAGCCATGACACTTGGTTTCAGTGTCAACGAACCTTCTGTGGAAAGCGCTCTTCTCGTGGACACGCCTTGCTGAAAAGCAAGCCCTGAAGCAAAGCAAGTCACACTCTGTCACATATTCACTGACTCCTCTGGATGAGGTCCAAGGTGTTCACAGAGGGAACGGAAGACGGAGAAGACTCTCTCTCTTTCTGTGTCCCTCTCTCTCTCACTCTTTCTCCAGGTCTGGATCATGGTTAAGAAACTCGATAAACGCCACGGCTATATTTCTGCGTGCATTTGTTGCTCCCACGTAAAACACCAAAAGATTTAAACACGTTGTCAAATCAGATTAATCAAAGCCACATTCTCTAGTTAAGCATAAAGAAATAAAAGGCATACGAGAACTCAAATTTGCTAACACTTGGACACAAAAAGGAATAGGCAGATTTGCATCTGCTATGGTTCGAGCGGGTCCCCTCCAAAACTCAGGTGCTGCCAATGGACTGGCATTCAGAAGTGAGGTCTTCAAGAGGGGATGAGGCCAAGAAGGCTGTTCCCTCATTAAAGGGATTGAAACCCTCCTAAAAAAGACTTCACCCAGCCTTTGGCTAGCTTGCCATGCAAGGATGCAGCCAGAAGGTCCTCACCAGACCAAAGGCTGATGTCTTGATCTTGGAAATCCCAGCCTCCAGAAATGTGAGAAATAAAGTCCTGTTCTTTACAAATTACCCAGTCTCAAGTAATTTCTTCTAATAGCACAAATGAAGACAGCACCTACCTTATGTTTCCTGGACAAATAACATTTCTCATTCAATTAAAATAACTCAGAAAGATTAATCTAAGTTCACCGGATATTATTTATGATGATGAGGACTACAAATAAAATGAACAAGCTACAAAAAGCCAAAAAAAAAAAAGGCGGGCACACACACTTGTGAAGGGTTCATCTACTTGGTTTTACAAAACGTGTACTAACAGGCACCCAGGGAAACCTACTCACCACAATATCCTCAGGAAACGTGTCTCTGCTGAAGGAGCCATCATCAAAAATGACCTCATAGAAGGTTTGTGATGTCACAGCCATCACTCTACAGCTGTAATACCGGGTGTTCCGATGTTTTGTGATGACCGTCTGACCCACGGAGATGGCCTTCTCACAAGCCTTAGCCTTCTAAAAGAAGAGACAGGAAAAGGAGAAAAAATAAACGTGAGGCAAGACATTGTAAAAAAGGACATACCTGGGTACAGTGACTCATACCTGTAATCCCAGAACTCTGGGAGAAGGAGAGGGTTGCCTGAACCCAGGAACTCGAGACCAACCTGGGCAACATGGCGAGACCTTGTCCATACAGTAAAAAAAAAAAAAAAAAAATCTGGCTGGGTATGGTGGCGCGTGCCTGTAGTTCCAGCTCCTTGGAAGACTGAGGTAGAAAGATCACCTGAGCCCAGCAGATCAAGGCTGCAGTGGCTGTGAGTGTGCCACTACACTGCAGCCTACACAAGAGAGAGACTCCAACTCAAAAAAACAAAAAAATGACATAAAATTTAAAAATATATTTATTTAGAAAACAATCACTGATTTGCCTGAGTTTTTAAAAAAAATTTTAACTTAATATTCAAGAATAATTTCAAGCTTACAGAAAAGTTACAATAATACAAATGGTATAAACACTTACATAACCTTTAAACTTTTACCCAGAATCATCTATTGTATGTGTAGACAAAGAGGGAAAGAATAGGCATACATATATATAATGTGTGTGTACACGCACACACACACACACACACAATTAAGATTGTAATACTCAATATATACCGATAATAAAAGGTGAATACAAGTCACATCTGACTTCAGCAATTACAAGGGGTGCTCACTGTGGTTACCATTCGTGTCCAGACACTTCTGAAAAGTACATAAGGCCGGGCTCGGTGGCTCAGCCTGTCACCCCAGCACTTTGGGAGGCCGAGGCAAGTGGATTGTCTGAGCCCATGGTTTGAGACCAGCCTGGGCAAATTGGCGAGACTCTGTCTCTACAAGAAATAAAAAAAAAAATTAGCCAGGCATGGTAGCATGCCTATGGTTCCAGCTACTTGGAAGGCAGAGGCGGAAGGATCGCATGGGCCCAGCAGGTTGACACTGGGCTGGCTGTGAGCATGCCATGGCACTCCAATCTGGGCAACAGAGTGAGACTCCAACTCAAAAAAATTAAAAAAGAAAAGTAACATATAGATAACATCACTTAAAATACGTATACATTTTTTTGGCACCCCAGTTATATACACACATATGTATACAGATATATAATATAAACACACACATATTTGTATCTCTTGAATCATTTGAGAATAAGCCACAAATATGGAATTTTACCCCTAAATACTTCCGAGTATATTTTCTAAGAATAGGGATATTGTTATTTCTTCCTAATTTCTATGAATTATTGTGAGATATTGGTATTGTATTTTCTCAAAGCAGCCATCTTATAAAGATTTCCACAGCCTTTGGAATAAACAAATTAACACAGATGACCCTTCTTATGCTAAACTTTTATGCAGAAGTCACTCACTTAAATTTGCCTTGTAATAATGAAAGTTTTCTTTATAAATTACAAGAGCTTGGTAAAATCCCCGACCCAGAAAGACCTAAATCCCCAGGGTTTCATGAAGAAATAATTGCTCTTACAGCACAAATACACATGCGGACTCATAAAAATGTCACAAGTATTTAATTCTGTACGTGTCTGTTTGTTCACGTGTACTTTTACTACTCATGAGTTTTTAACTACAAACATATAATACAGTGGGAAATCATGGTAAGCAGTTTCCCAGCAGGTTTAAGGTCTTATTCACTTCACGTCTGTGAAAAAATATAATGAACAGGCAGCACTTGATGCTGAGAAAAAACTTATTTTTTCCCAGCGGAATCATGAGCTCACCTCAGACACCGTGGCCCTGCTTGGTAGGTGATGAGGACTGGGAGGAGAGAACCATCTTCAGACACAGCTGAATCTCAGCTTCACGACGGCAATTCAGTACCCCCCCAACAGACAGGCAGCAGCAACTCCCTGCTCTAAACAGGCAGCAGCTCATATAAAGGGCAGAGACAAGAGTTCACATTCGTCAGACTGGTGGGCCTTGGTCCACGGCGACGCCGAAGCCAGACACGAGCTTCTCTGAGACAGCCCATCTCATTCGTTGCTAGAGAATGCGTGAGCTCGCAGATGCCTGGCTCAAGAAGCTCAGGCCTTCAATTCTCAAGGCTTCTTGGGTGGCAACAGTAAAATCAGGAAAGAACAGCAGATGCCAAACAACCCCAATCATTATCAGCAGGACCCTGGGAGGCCGAGGGGAGACCATCGCCTGAGAGCACAGGAGTTTGAGACCAGCCCAGGCAAAAGAGTGAGACTTCGTCTCTATTTTAAAATAAAATAATCACATGTTGTCACTCGTAAGTGGACCTTGAACAACTACCGGAATACTATAAGAAAAGGATTGACAGTAGCGGGAAACTGTGGGGGGTGGAGGGGCAGGGGAGGCAGGGAGGTGGGATTGACAGTAGTTGAAATCTGCCTGGGGAAGCGGGGCATACCTCATCAACAACAGTACTTGCACAATGAATATTTGTATACCTAACCCTTCACTGTACCCCACAATTTTAAAATTAAAAATAAATAAATAAAATAACAGACACTGCTCTACACCTTCACTGACCAACCACACCTCGTGCAGGCTGGAAAGGCCCGAGAGGAGGCCTGAGGCCCGTGACGAAGCCATGCCGCTTCCACTTCACCAGGGCTGAGAAACTGCCCCCCTCTCTGGAAAGGAAAGAGGCATTGACTTGCAGGTGAAAAGCATGTCAGAGCCCGGGATGACTCCAAGATTCTACACAAGGGCAGGACAAAGAGTTTGGGGCGTCAGACAGGCTAACCGGCTTCCTGCAAAGCCTTTCAAGCTCATCCAGAGAGCTGCATGTCACGTTGGTTGAAGGTGGGCATATGACGGGGGCTGCAGAGCAATCTTCTGGTAGAAATGCTGGACGTTAGCTCATTGAACTGCCCTTTCTACTGCTTGCAGCTAACAGCTTTAAAATGGTTCTTCCATTATATTTTCTCAGCATCAATGGATTTCATTATGACTCTAGCATCTAGTTACTGTTTTGCACATTAAGAACTTGAAAATCCTGCCCCTTGTGCTTCACAAGATGTTGGAATGGCAAGTACCCTCTGCTGTGTGTGTCTGCCGACACACTCCTTTTACATGTTTCTCCTGCATCCATGGTGCTTGCTTGTAATGCCAATGTTAAACATGAGATTTGCGTCACTACTTAATTTTTGAAACAAGCTCTCAGGCTGGCGGAGGCCATGACAATCCAGGACTCAGCATGGGAACCGAATGAAGACACCCTTCTGGAAGGCAAAGCCCCAGAAGGATCCGTGTGCGTGGCAAAGCCCCGCGGAAAGCCTTGAGGAAAGTTCTACATGAATGTCCTGTGACTCATGGTCACCTGTTTGTTCCCATTATATTGTTGTGCTTATGCCTTACAGGAATAATATGCTTAAAACTCCCCTTGGGAAAGAACGCTGTGACTAAAGTTATGGATTACAGCATCTATAATGTTAATAATAAAGCAGCTAATGTTTCAAATGGCGGAGGCCATGACAATCCAGGACTCAGCATGGGAACTGAATGAAGACACCCTTCTGGAAGGCAACGTCCCAGAAGGGATCCGTGTGTGTGGCAAAGCCCCATGGAAAGTCTTGAGGAAAGTTCTACATGAATGTCCTGTGACTCATGGTCACCTGTTTGTTCCCATTATACTGTTCAATAATAGAGCAGTTAATGCTTCACCATTGGCCATGCCTCAGGAAATACAAATAGCAACCCAACAGGTCACAATGACCCAACCAATTACTCCAAAACCTACTGTGACAAAGTGTACTTCTAACTGTTCTACTTTATGTTAAAACTATGGTATCGAGAAATGACAGAAACTGAGGTACAAACTAAAGCAAACACAGTTAAGCCATACAAACAACACCAGGGTAGCCACAAGTTTAAAGCTTTGAAACAATATTACAAACCCTTGCCAACTATTAGAGCAGGCCCCCATATAGGCTATAATATGAATGTCAGAATTTGGTGGGCACCTAGAGGAAAGAGTGGTATGCAAAACTTAGAATGGCTTGACCCTCCACTACCTTATACAGGCGCATATGATGATGATATGGTTAGAAACGTCTGGATAGATGAAAGACATGTTAAGTAGAAAAACTTACCTTTATAGGAAAAAAAAAAACGCAGTGGGCCCCCTTGGTGCCTGCTTTCTAAAACCCAAAGGTCAGCACTTAGTAAAAAGCAAAATGATTGGTATATATAAATAAACATAGACACTGCCTCATCACAGACAGCGACCTTTAAATTAAAACTATTAAAGGTTATATGCCTAACACCTTTATGTCTATATAGACTATTTACCTCTATAAAGCATAAGTTTTACTTTCCACTTGCTAACCTTTTGACTAATATTAACCTTGCCCTTTTCATAAGTTAACACTTCCAAGAACAGCTAGCTTCTTATATGTAGACATTATTAAACCATATAGTTATGCAGAAATCATAAGAATTGTAAAATCATCAGAACGTCATACATTCATTTCGATATGTTTTGATTGTTAATTTTTTCCTTTACTGTTAACCTTCTGCTAAGTGTGTGCCAAAAATTATGATATAAATACATCAGCGTTGGTGTGCTTCAGGGCCAGAGTGCCTGAAAAGAAACTCTGGTCACAACTCTTCCTTCCCTCGCCTCATCACGCCTCCTTCTCAGTCCCCGTGAAGCCCCCGGAGCTGGCCTCCGGCATCAGGCGATACTGTATGCCTTAATTATTTTTTTAAAAAGCGTACAAATTGCTAAAAAACTTAAAATTTCTTGGGAACTGAGAAATATTAGTTCTATGAAAAACTGGGCAAGCATTTTACATGAAAATTCACCTTTTCTACAAAAAAGCATACACCATAACCAGGTAAGAGACCACTGGAGTTGAAGACTTGATTTGTCTCAGCCGGTTGGTCCTGGAAGTTACCATATATGAGGTGTTCCACATCAATATTTCTTAACACAATGGCCCCCTCAGTGGAATCTGACGTCCCCCGACAGGCTCCCTGTTTCAT